TGGTCCCCAAATGCCTTGATACGGCCCTGGATGTGGGACTGACTTCTGGGGTGATCTGATTCTATCGCATGTATAAATATTAAATGCTTATATATTATTGCTTTTCACTGGTAAACATGTGTGTTGGGGATAAATCTACCTATTTTTTCTTTTTTTCTTGATTTTATTTGAATAATTTCCGGCCCTTTCTCTCTCTAACCTTCCTGCATGCTGCATGTTTTCTCCGTCTTCCAGAAAAAACGGTTTCCTAGACTTCCTACTTTCTAACCATCAGCCAGAGGGATCTTCACATGCGCGGTGCTCCAGCAGTAATGAGTTAAACTCACCGGGGCCCAGATTAACTCAGCTGAGGCAAAGCACGTCAGAAAAGTACAAAATACCAGAGAATATGCGCTGATATGAACGATCGCAAGTGAATTATTTTGTTTTAGTGGAGCGATTTTGTGAATGTTACAGCGGCCGCGTGGAGGATGCCGCTGGAGTAGCTGAGCCGTTACTGCTGCGTCCTCTCTACCTGCAAAGCTGAGTCCATAAATGATGTCATATATGCAGATACTGGATCTTTCTTCAGGCTTCCCGCAATTTGAATTTTTAAGGAACACATCTTGATTCTGGGTTTAAAAATGCATTGTAATTACCGCGTTACTGACAATTGTACCGAGTAAATATTACCATTTTCTTTCCCTGTAATGCCTTACATTACCACATTACAGCAAAAAGCAATGCATTACAGTAATTAATTACTTTTGTACTGCATTACTCCCAACACTGCTGAAAACTATATTAAACACGAGTTCCTCCTAAAACGGGACGTTCCATTCTGGTCCTGAAGGTCCTGTTCTCCTGCTCTAGCACACCGTATTAAACGACTGGATCATTATTGATCAGGTTCCTCAGATGCCTGTGAATCACCTATTGATTAAAACTACGTGTGTTGTCTCCACTCTCCCTGGCGTACAAATTCCCTCACCAAATTAGTGAGCTGGTCACCTTTTCAGGAATTACATAAGTTCTGTTATCAGTTACTTTCCTCTTCCTTGCAGATCCTTGGCTCCCAGGTTCCCGATCTCCCACAGCTACCAACTACCACCTTCCTTTCAAACAAACTGTTTAAACCACTTCTGTCTCCTAAGAACTTTCCAACATCTACCTAAGACCCTAACATAACAATCTGGCCAAAATGACCCAGCCGAAGCGCGCAGGACAGCCAAAGTACAGTACTCCATGGGTGTGTCCGAATCTGTGGGCAGGATGCTTATGAGTACGGGTCCTCGCCAGTCTAGCAAGGCCGGGTCCTTGCTAGACCGCTAAGACCGGAACCCAGCGGCTCTGAATTCGGACAGTCTAGCCTTCACCTCTACGGTGGCCCGTAGGTCCCGTCACAGCCGTGGCGGCGGACAACAGTATGTAAAAATTAAAGATATAAAATCTGGATTTAGAGAAATAAGTTGTGGAGTTCCACAAGGGTCAGTAATAGGTCCAATATTATTTACTTTATATATAAATTACATATGTAACGTGACAGATTTTTTCAAATTTATAATGTTTGCAGATGATACAAATTTAGTTTGTTCAGGTAAAGATGTAAAAGAACTTTTAAAGAAGGCCAAAAAAGAGTTAAATATCCTCAAATCTTGGTTTGATGTAAATAAACTATCACTGAATATAAAAAAAGACTAAATTTATGATTTTTGGAAATAAGAAGGTAAAAAATTGAGACTTTAAATGAACAATTTCAGATACTGAAATTGAAAGAGTGTCTGAAATAAAATTAATTGGTGTTGTGATTGACTCTAACTAATCCTGGAAGCATCATTTAAATTAAATAAAAGGAAAAATTGCCAAATCTTTGGGTCTATTATATAAGCTGAAGGACATACTAAACCATAAGGCCTTACGTCTAATATACTGTTCACTAATACAACCATACATGGCATATTGTATAGAAATATGGGGTTCAACTTTTAAAACATATATACATGAAATAAAAACTATACAAAAGAAATCTATTCGAGTTATAAACAAGAGCAATTATTATGCTCATACTGACCCGTTGTTTTTAAAATCACAGATTATGAAATTAGAAGGTCTATATTATTATAAAATAATGCAATTTATGTTTAGAGTAAAATTAACGGCTCTGCCAGAAAATAAACTAATGTTTTTTGTAAAGAGGGAAAGTAACTATGATTTAAGAGGTGTGGTTAAGAGGTACGTTTGTTCTACAAAAAGCCAAAAAGGGCATGAAAAGGAGATGTATCTCTGTAATGGGAGTAAAATTTTGGAACGAGGCTAAAATAGAATTAAAATTAGCAACTTCTCTTTCAGTTCTTAAAAAACTTATCAGTAAAAATATTTTTGAAGAGTATTAATTTGATGTTGATGGATGGATTTGTGTTTTATTTTTATTTGGGTTGTTGGTTCATTGCGGGAAATAGAAAAATTGTTTTGTAAGTAGGTTAGACAATTATATAAGCTACTGCTTCTGCCTTAACCTATTCAGTCATGAGATACCAAATAGACACCATATACAAATGAACGCATATGTTAGTGAGAAATGGTATTTGTATCTATTTGTATGACATGTTATTGTACACATTATCTTAAGATGACTGACTGAATAGATTGATCATTCATTCATAAGATTTTACTCAACAGCTGAATTGTTTGTATTTTGATTCTGTGTGAATGAAGATGAACAAAATCAGATAAAACACAATTGTGATTTCTTACATTTAAATTGTAAGTAAACCCCAATTTAATTTTTGTAATTTTATTTATTTATGGGTTTTCTTCACCAAATACTGAAAAACTACTTGTTTTTATTTATTTATTTATTTTCCGGAACCGCGTTGCTCTGGGTGGCTGAATGTTGGAGTAGCTCTGTTGACTATATGTAAGTTTTGCCTTTTCTTGGTCATTTTTTCTTCTAGTTTCTCAAGAAAAACTGTATTTTTTTGGACACTTTACTTTTCTGTTTCTGGTGCTGTGAAGCTTGGAGGATTTTTGCTGCTATTTTTTAGCTTTTTTCACTTTTTGAGCATTTGTTATGATGTGTAACCATGGCAACAAGCTGGTTTACAACCGGGAGCAGCTGATTAACATTGGAAAGGCTGAAATAATACCTCAACTGAAGCCACAAATCCCAAATGAGCTAAAACGCAAGAAGCGTGGGTGCAGAGCGGGAGCAAAACGGAGACAGAGAAAGAGGAAATTCAGACCATCTCTTCCATCGATCATAACGGGCAACGTGAGATCACTGGCCAACAAGATGGAGGAACTCCAAGCCCTTTCAAGGACTCAGCCAGAGTTTCGGCAGTTTCAGAACCGCTGGAGGAGATAATGCAAAGAAGGATTCTCCAGAGAATCAAGAAAATGATGGACAACCCTGAGCATTCTCTTCACAAGACTGTCCGACAACGGAAGAGTGTCTTCAGTCAGAGGCTTCTTCAGTTTGGCTGCAACACTGACCGCTACTGGAGATCCTTCCTGCCAACAGCCATTGTAATAATCAACAACTCTTTGACTTGATTATTATTATTATTCTGAGCTACTACAGCAATCAATTTCCCTCTGGGATTAATAAAGTATTTTTGAATTTGAATTGATTTTTGGGGAGAATGTGTGCTTGTTGTTGTTGTTTTCTATCAAGCTTCTAAATCAGGGGAGATGAAAGAAGAAAACTTCCAAACTCAAAGATGAATTTATCTATCCTCCTGAGACCCGAATTTGTATTTGGTGGGATGTAAAATAAATTAAAGAAAAAAACTGAAACAAAATATATTTTTTACTTAAAATCAATATCAAATGTTTCTAAATAAAAAAAAGAATAAGAATAAAGAAGCCAGTGTCCTCATATGTAGACACAGGGTCTCAGGAGGCTATTACCTGTTTTTACATGTGTTTAAACCACACGTCCTACCGCTGGCTGGGATTTTTCTGTCTGTTGGCTGAACTTTCTGCTCTGGTCTACTAGTGTTTATTATTGTTTTTGCATTTGGAACACGGACAGTCAAAAACATTTGTGTTAAAGTAGGAATGCTGAAGCAACTGCTTATTTGGTCTAACCTCCTAAAACCGTTTTAGTGAAAATAAATGAGTTCAAACAGTATTTTGAAGTTAAACACTTCGAAATAACATCTAAAATAATAATAAAGCTACTTTAATTAAAGCTCAATAATTAAAAAGGTTTTAACCTTAATCAGAAATAGCAAAACATTGGAGCAGTGACGTCTCAGATAATCTCCCCAGTTACACTGGAGATTAGAAATACGTTTCTATTTCTTTACCTGTAAGTCTATTTCTATTCTGTCACTGCAGGAGAGGCAGGATCCACCTGGACAGGTAACCAGGACCATCGCCAGTCCATGCCGGGACAATTATGGACACACACATGCACACCTGGGGGAGTGTTTACCAGTTGCTCTGACATATTTGAGGTCTGTGGGGGGAAAACGAACACTCCACGTAGAAGGTCGCAGCCAGGCGTTGAACCTGCAGCCATCTCGTTGATGCTAACCTACTGCAGCACTAGGACACTGGTTCTATGTTGAAATGTTAGTATTTATTATACGCATTCAGTCACTCCACTAACCAGCGAGGGGCTCTAACTGGAGCGATGACACCACTGCAGAGGGTCAGCCTGTTAGTATGCTGGCATAAACAACCTGTGTGTGTGTGTGTGTGTGTGTGTGTGTGTGTGTGTGTGTGTGTGTGTGTGTGTGTGTGTGTGTGTGTGTGTGTGTGTGTGTGTGATCCTGGGACGCATACACCAACCCCAGCTGTGACCTGAGTCTGGTCACGTTTGACTGAGACATGTCCAGACGGGACAGATGCCTCCCACACAGACCCAACCACGGCCACAGGAAGTCCAGCTGCTGCAGAAAATGCTAATTAATTCTAACCTGCCCGCAGCTCAACACGGTGGTCTGAGACGGACAGAGATGGAGATGCGTTCGGATCCAGACGCGAGGGTTTCAGAGCAAAAGCTTTCTACATACCGAGCAGCACCGACACAACCGTGGCGATCAGAAGCCAATTCTTCCTCAGCAAGCGCTTGAAATTCACGCCTCGTCGCTCCTTGTTGCTCATCGCGTCAGCGGTGTTGCGTTTATTCCTCAAAAATTAAACGAAGAAATGCGCTGAATCCACAACGATTCCCAAAGAGAGACACAAGCGCCTCCAGCGAACTGACGAGTCAGAGGAGGAGGAGGAGAAGGATGGAGGAGAGGAGCTCCGCGCTGCTGCAGGAGTAGCGGTCCTCTTATGGTGGGGAGGGGAGGGGGGGAGCCCCCCCCCGAGCCCCCCCTTCCTGCATGGAGGCTCAGGCACCTGTACAGAGAATAAAAACAGCAAAAACATGCTCTGCGGGTTGTCAGAGCGTTAAAGTTAAAAAGAAGTCCATCAGGACGAAAGAAAAATGTGATCTAACATTTGAAAAGAACAAACTCAGCATTTAAGCAGGAAGGCTCTGATGAACACTTCATCGTTTCTTTCAGCTGTAGAATGCTTTTATCTAATGTTGACTGAAGGTTCACCTGCACGCTGAGGAGGAAACCGACGCACTTATCCAGTCTTTGGAAGTTTTCCAGATGAAATAAGTGGATTTAATCGGATTGTTCTTTTCTGTGTTCATGGCTCCAACGCTTCTGACTCCATCACCAGTGGCTGGGATGCAGCAGCCTCGATACCATAACACAACATCCTGATTTTGTAGATTTACATTTATTCAGCAGACACTCTTTACAGAAACCTGTTCTGATTTGTTTTATTTTGATAAGTCATTACTGGATGACGTATGATCCTATCACATTTATGCATGTTTTTCCAACAACACTCACATCGTTTTTATAAAGTGTGACATTTCTTTTTTTCCCACTCTTTATGTGACAAATATGACATTACAATGAACTCTAGATTTTATTTATTTAAATGACAAATGGGTTAACCAGCATCCGCCCCTGAAACAAACTTATTTTATATTAATTGTAAAGGAATTTGAACCCTTTTGGACATCTTTCCTCAATTCAATTCAATTCAAAGATACTTTATTAATCCCAGAGGGAAGTTAGAGAACACTGCCATCCACTGGTTGTGCGCGTCAACAACCGCACATTTTGGCTGCTTTATTTTGAAAGTGTTGACCGGATGTTTTCATCTCCGTCCGGTCTCCTAGCTTGATTCTGCCATGTTTGACTGAACCAGTTTTTCGGGAACTGCCAGCCAGACCACCACTGACTGTCAGCACGGACATGAGAGAGAGTCCGGTGTGTTAGCCTGGTGGTTCCCGCTGTTTCAGAACCGTACTGTCCGACCGAACCGGCCGCTTGCTGCAGCTGCTCGATAGCTAGCTCCCACAACCCGCTAACTTCCCCCGGAGACCAGACGAGTGGGGCCTCCGGCTGGTGCGACGCGTTTCACGGAGATACCCAGACACCCCGGTTTGTTTTCCGGAGTAACACCCTGCTGAAATGGGTGAGTAGTTAACCGGCTATCCGGTTCATTCAGAGGCGAGCTTTTTCATTAGATTTACCAAAAGCATGAAGTGTAAAACCATCAGATGATGCAGTGTCTGGTGGTTTGTTGAAGTTGATTGACACAATCGTGCCAGTAAAGCCGTTCCTGACAGTTCCCGTTACTCATTTCCGTTTTCATTCATTGTAACGTGAGTTTTTAAAGGGCCGAGTGTGACCACATCGTGGATGTATGCGCGCGCGCGCCCATCCCTCGGGTGGGGTAGCCTGCCCGACTCCACGCACGGTTCTCCTCCTCGGCTCTCCTGGAGGCTGGCTCTTCGCGAGTGGGCCCCCCTGGTGCGAAGGGTCTGGGGTGGAGAAGATGCTGCTGCAGATGCAGTGAAATGGCAGCGAGCTGCTGCTGATGGTGAAGATGGCACTCCATCTGCACAGCTGTTATGCAATAGGATCAGACAGGCCACCTTCTGGTGAAACCAGCAGATCACTTGAGCCCAGGCTGAGACATTCCTGGACAGTCATCCTGACCAGGTTTTATTAATTCACACTACAGTGTGTGTGAGTTCTGTGTTAGATCTGGCCCTGATGCTAGCAGTCTCACAGGAAAGTGCCGATGGCCACAAGGCTGGAGCCGACATCTGTCTGCAATCCTTAGGGTGTTTAATGGTTACCCTGCTTTCCCACTGAATATTTACATGTTAGTGGTAACATGTTGATCAGGGATGTGTATTTTTTGAAATTCTGGCGATACGATACATATCACGATACAGGGGAGACAATACGATATATCACGATATACAGTAATCCCTCGCTACTTCGCGGTTCATTCATCGCGGATTCGCTGCTTCGCGGATTTTTTGTTTGGAGCATTTTTCAGGGGGAATTCGCCGTATTTTTCACTGATTCGCGGTATTTTTCTATGCGAAATATCAAGAAATTCTTGTTTTTTTCCATCAATTTCATCATAAAATGCACTTTTTGTAATAAAACTAAAAAAAACCAAGTAAAAAAATTTTTTTCTTGAGTTTTACCCACAAAAAAAGAATGTGATCATACGATAATTCAATAGGGAGCGTGGTTTCACAGACGCGGAAGTGATAGCGTCGGTGAAACGCCGGCTGATCTAGGAAACCCCCGAGCGTTCGAGCGTCAACGAAGTGACACGGAAATGCCGGGCTTTCCAGAAGTAAGCAAGATAACTTACTATGAGCTGATAGTTCATGGGATGGATCGGTAGGTTGGAAACTCTGATCATGAATCTGAAGAAACGATGACTGAGTGGTGAGCTGGAAAGGCGACTTCCGTTTATAGCCGCGGTTTGTGACGTAGGTGCGACGTGGAGGGAATCCCCGCGAGGGGCATGCTGGGAGTCCCTACTTCGCGGATTTTCACCTATCGCGGCCAGGTCTGGAACGCATCTACCGCGATAAACGAGGGATTACTGTATTGCTATACATTCAGTCAGACGTTACAAGCAATTTTTTTCACTGAATTTATTGTAAGAATGTTCAATAACAGTCCAAACTGATACGTAACATGTTTAACATGAGGTATCTGAACCATGATGGAGGGTTTTACATTTCAATGGTGGAAACAAAACCCGTTGCACACTGCTGCCAACTAGCGGGTGGTGATTGAATTGCACAAAACGAAAAGAAAATACACGAATGTTTGCATGTAAATTCTTTCAAGAATTAAATACACGGCTTTTGCATATCGATTTAACATTGCTGGAAAAAAAATCACGATATATTGCCATATCGATATTTTCTTACATCCCTAATGGTGATTCTAACATTCAGACTGTGTTCTGGCCATAAACTGACTTCTAAGGGGTCATATTATACAAAAGTCACCTTTTGCATTCATTTGGAAAATTCAGATGTTTAAAAGTGGGCTCATGTGAATAGTTAGCATCGTACTTGTTTGTGTTACTTTAGATTCTAGAAACAAGAGATTTGTTCTGATGTCTGTCTGTCGAGCTAAGAGTTAATCCTAAACAGGCCAGTGTTGTGGTTATTAGCCAACAAATAATTTGTAAGCTTTACTTACTCTTTGGATTCATCAATAAAATTCGTAAATATGGAAATATTTACTGATTTATTACGTAATTAGGATATCCGTTGATATGCCTAGGGGCACAACCCCTTTTTATAGGGGAAAAATGAATCCAAGCCTCTATCAATCTGTCTAAAGTTCGTAAAATTCTTTTAACGAGCAGCGGTCATATTCTATCCAACACAGACAAATTAACTTGAGACAACTTAATTGGCAATAACATTTATTGACTAATATAATCACCTTAGCTCCTTCAAAGCGCTAGCCAATCAATATCAACCAACCGATTTTATCAAACAAACAACAGGCAATGAAACCATGGAATGATGATGTGACGTAACAATCTAATCAGACCGGTGGGGTGAGATGGTTATGTGATCAGGCAATGGTGAGGCTGCTTGATGATGTAAGCAGGCAGAGATAGGCTGATTACCAAACTGGAGGGAGTTTTGAAAACAAAATGGCGGATCCTTCGTTTGGCTGACCAAAGGATCAAACTGTGTGTGTGTGTGTGGAATTTAGCTTGTCTTCCCAAACACGCACGATCAGTGGGTGTGGGACCCTGGTCAGACGCGTATTTGACGGTGTGAACAAACGTTCACAGTAAACTTAATCAAAACACTTCAAATCGCTTCACAAAGATCAAGAAAAAAAAAACAACAGATCAGTCATAAAGGCAAATTACATATCTAAACAGTCTGTCAGCCTGGCCACTGCATAAACAAACTTAGATTTTAAACAATAAAAGGAACGGAGCTTACTTCGAGATAATCCGTTGGCGTTTTTATTACGAAAGAGAGAGACCGTCTGTTAATTTAAAGCAGTCACGTGGTCGACCGCTTGTTTGGACTATTAGAGAAGCGGGAGAGAAAGAGAGGGAAAAAAAATCTTGAATGAACGAACACAAGGCGTCCGTCTGTGTCCGGGCTGAGCAGATCAGATGGCGTTGGTCCGTTGATCTCAGCAGCTAGGCCTCATGCACACGCTGTCCGGAGCGGTAAGAGCAGAGGCGGGGTGGGAGTGGGGGCGGGGGGGGGGGGGGGGGTGTCTCCTAACACCAGATGAACTGGACGGGAAGAGGAAGAGTTCCGCTCTGCGCCTCAGCTTTATAGACTCGTCCAGCGGGCGGTCTCTGTAGGGGCCGGTATCCACCGGGGCGTGTCAGACTTGGCGTCACTTGATGACATCATCAAGCTGCTGCCGGCTGCAGAGGATCATGGGACATGGAGTCCCTGCTGGCGCTGATATTAACATGCTTTATTGTCTACGCTTCAGGGCGTAGATGGCACAGTCCTTTGTAGGGCTGCACGATATTAGGAAAAACTCCGATATTCGATTACAGTGCTTAATATTGCGATATCGATATTACTCACGATAAATGAACAAATACTAAAGTATGCAGTGTTGATGTCGTCTGGCGTGTGACGTCTGCTCTGGGTTCAAAGCAAATAAAAACTAATGTATGAATTCCATTACAACATAACATTTTTATTGCAGCTGCACCTGCTACTGTATTAGCAGCAAAACAACAAACTGCATGCATGCAGTTTCTCATTGACTTTAAAACATCACCTCCACCATAAAACTTTTTCTGATGCTCCAAATACAGAAAAACATCCCATAGCAGGGTTTTTTGAATAAATAGTTTAAACGTTAAATAATAGTTAACGTCACTTAAATGCAACAGCAAATTCTCTCATTGCTACTGAGCATTTTCTCCACTTATGTGGTTATGATATAAGGCTGTTGCTGTAACTGGGAAGTGAACTGTGCTGGGCCAAACTAGGAGAATATTAAGATTTTCTGAAGGAAAGAGAAAAACAATTGTCTACCTTTCAGAAGAGGAACTGGCAAAAAAAACTACATGGAAAATATGTGAAAACGTTTGTTTTTAACCCCAAATTGAACAAGTTTACCTCAGTGGCGGATCTAGGATTTTTCTGAGGGTGGGGCCATCAAGGGGCCACAATATTTATAGAGGGGCCACGAACAGTCCAACATACTTGCATACTATTCCCAGTTTTGTATGGTAGATACAGTTTACCCCAACACCATGTTGAAAAACATCAATGCAATTGTACATCAATTTTTACTGTACATTGACAAAATACAACCACACACAGCATTTGAGAAATTTTAGCATTCAATTTATTTTGCAAAGCCACAAATATCAGGTTAAAATATGTTTGTGTGTGGAAAAAACACCAGAAGAATATCACAGGACCCTCTGCTCTTGACTGGGAAATGTCTGGTGGGAAGTCAATTAAATAAGTCTGAGTCAGTTGCTTATATCTCTCAACCTTTAACATTCATGGCATTCAGAATCTGCAAGTGACTGACTGCAAAATTCAATTAAATTTAAAGAGCCTTTACAAAATGAGAAGCACACCACCAGGTCCTACTGGAACAGAACACCGTTCTGATGTCTGCGCAGGATTCTGTGCATCACACTGGAAGATGTCTGAAAACATCAAATGAGAAATTACCTAACATAAGCCAAATACATACACAAGCATTTATTACTTTCAAAGATCAATGTTTACCATTTGATCCTGCAGGATTAGCATTGATTGGTGACTCTGGTGGCCCAGCAGGATGGAAGGTTGAGTCATTAACTTCACTCTGGTTGTCTGAATTGGAGAGAGTCTTGTCCCAGTTTGCAGCTAAAATACAAATATATGTCAAACTCCAGCTAAATCCAGCCAAAACTTTGTTTTCTATGAGACCACATTTTTATTTATTTGAAATTGAAGACTTGAAAGATTGGACTATAAAGATGAGATGTGGTAGATGTAGACAAAGAAACCAATACAATTTAAATCCATTATGTTAATGTTATAGTAAACCACATCATCATGAAGCGGAAGAATTCAGTAAACATATGTGCCATTAGTACAAGATAACATCATTTAACAAATTTGAGATAATGGTGATTTTTTTTAT